CTTTAAAAAAGGGGCTGGAGAGATGACTCAGTGGGTAAGAACACTGGTTGTTCTTGCAGAAGACTCAGGTTCGAATCCCAGCACCCACATGGCAGCTAACAACTGTCAGTAGCTCCAGTCCCAGGGGATCCAACAGCCTCTTCTGACCTCCATGGGTATTGCACGACTTGGGTGCACTTACCTACATGCAGGCAATACACACATACACATAAAATAAAAATATTAGGGGCTGGAGAGATGGCTCAGAGGTTAAGAACACTGACTATTCTTGCAGAAGACCCAGATTCGAATCCCAGCACCCACATGACAGCCAACAACTGTCCGTAACTCCACTTCCAGGGGATCCGACAGCCTCTTCTGACCTCCGTGGCATTGCACAACACGGGTGCACTTACCTACATGCAGGCAATACGTGCATACACATAAAATAAAAATAATAAATAAAATATTAAAAAAATAAATAAGATTAAAACCTTAAAAAAAAAACTTTAAAATCTTTTCTTTTTGAGACAGGGTAGTACTCTGTAGCCCAGGCTGGCCTGGAATGCAGGGTGGTCCTCTTACCTCAGCCTCTTGATTGCTGGAATTGCAGGTGTGGGCCACATGCCCAGCAAAACTTTAAAGACCATTAGTAGAGCTCGAAGACCTGTGCATGGAAGTGACGTAAAGAGAAGTCCGATTGATGCTGGAGGGCAAACAATAGGCTAGATTGTCTTTTTTTTTTTTTTTTTGAGACAGGGTCTCCCGTAGCCACAGCTGGCCTGGAACTCACTATGTTGACCACGTTGACCTTGAACTCACAGAGATCCACTTGCCTCTGCCTCCCAAGTTCAGAGTGCTACCACTTTTTTTTTTTTTGAGACAGTGTCTTCCTGTAGCTCCAGCTGGCCCAGAACTTGCTATGTAGACTGGGCTGGCCTCCATGTCACAGTGGTATACCTGCCTCTGCCTCCCAAGTACTGGGATTAAAGGTGTGTACCACCACACCTGGCCTTAGGTTGTCAATTTTATGAGTATTCCTGAGCTCAATTTACCATTAATTTCTATTATAATAACAATTCAAGAACATAGAAGAGTCTAAGGCTACTTGAGTAATTTGGTGAAGGCACGTATTCCTGATAACAGCATGATAAGGCTAGCAAATAGTTACAGATTGATCTTTTACAAATATAGTTGTGAAAATTCTGAATGTTATTCTAACATGTTAATTGAAATACTTTTTTCAGACCCAAGGAGGCTCATTCCGATATGAGTGATTTACATTACAATAGTTACTCAAGTGGAGAATGTGGTGACTGAGGTTGGGATGGTATCCCTGCCATGTATGGGCATCTTGTATTCCAGGGAAACAAGCAACTCCAGAGAGAATCCACAGAGCTTGGGCAGCACTAGAGCCACATCTATCCCAACTCCATATCAGAGGAGGAATATGAGTCTTGATTAGGAAGAGCAGGAGAAAGAAGAGACCTGTAGGCATGTATTCCCAAGGCCCTGGTCAAAATGAACACTACCTATGCAGCTTCTAGAAAGCCCAAGACAGGGCAGTAAAGGGGTGCTGGAGAGATGGCTCAGCGGTTAGGTTAAAAGTATATACCACCTCTTTCAGAGGACCTGAGTTTAGTTCCCAGCACCCACATCACCGGCTCACGGCCTATGACCCCAGCACCTGCACTTACATACCCACACACAGGCCCACACATGTACACATAATTAAAAATAATAAAAATAAATCTTTAAAAATCCCAAGGCAAGCCAGGTGTGGTGGTGTATGCCTTTAATCCCAGCACTTGGGAGGCAGAGGCAGGCAGATCTCTGTGAGTTCAAGGCCAGCCTGGTCTATGTAGTGAGTTCCAGGACAGCTGGGGCTACAGGGAGACCCTGTCTCAAATAGACCATAAAAAAAAAAAAAATCCCAAGGCAATCATTTAATTAAAATGGCACCAAGGAGATAGCTTTCCAGGCAGCTAGCAGGAATAAGTGGACATTCTTTAATGTCCCCCCCACCCTGGCATTGGATTTTGTATGGAGCCCAGGCTAACTTGAAACTTAGTATGTAGTCCAGGCTGGCCTTAGACACCAGTCCTCCTGCCTTAGCCTCATGAGTGCTGGGATTGCATGCTGGCACACCTGGCTGCTGATTTAAAAAAAAAATGATTCATTTTAGTTTTGTTTATGTATATCTGCCTGGTTTGTGTGTGGTATATGTGTGTGAATGTAGTACCCATGGAGGCCAGAAGATGGCATTCTATCTTCTAAAGTGGAGTTATAGGTGATTTTGAGCCACCTGACTTAGATGCTGGGAACTGAACTCTGGTCCTCTACAAGAGCAGCAAGTGCTTGTAACCACTGAGTCGTCTCTCCAGCCCTGAACACATGGCTTTTTTTGCTGTACTTTTATCCAAGACTCAAAAGATTCTTACAAATGAAGTTTTAAGGGATAGTTTACCAAAACTAAAAGGAAATGAGCCACAGATGGACAAAGAGGGCAATGGCTGGAGTTGGCAGGTAGAGATACATGAAACATATATGATATTGAAAGTTCCACAAAAGAATAAGAAGCCAGAGTTGTCAAGGAAAATTGGGAAAAAGACCAAATATAACTCTGAGAAATACAGAAAAAAAATCTGATAAATGACACTGCTCATTAAATGGCAGATAAGGCACAGATGAAAACATAGCGAACCAGAAGATTGTCCTGAGGAAATTGCACAGACCATCATCCAGAGACAAGTGGGCAGTATGAATGAGAATTTAAGAGGACTGAGAGTCTGATATGCCCTTAATTATAGTTCTGAGACTCAGCAGAGGTAATGGGGTAGATACAATGTTAGACAAGGTAAAGCCCAGAAAAGTTTTCAGAGCACATGTAGAGTATTAGCTTTCAGGTTCAAGGAGCCTAAAAAGTCCCAGATAAGATGCAGATTTAAATCCCTACAGGACACAGCATAGTAACCTTCAGGGTATACATAGTCAAACATCATAAAAACAGCCACAGAGAAAAATATTGATTACCTACACAATAACTGTAGCTGACTGACACTTGGCTTGTACATGGCAACATTGAAGGCAGATAACTATTAGTGTCAGATGATAACTCTACTCCCAACAAATGCCTTCAAAAAATTATCTTTCAAGAATGAGGGCAAGGGCTGAGGATGTAGGTCAGTTGGTAGAATGCCTGCCTAGCATGCATAGGATTCTGAGTTTGATCCCAAACACTGCTCAAACCAGGTAAGTAGTGCATGCCTGTGATACCAGCACTTAAGCAGTAGAGGCAGGAGGATCCGAAGTGTATCCTAGACTACATGGCATGTTCAAGACCATTCTAGAATAAATGAACCATGTCTTTTTAAAAAATATTTTATTTATTATTTTTATATTATGTGTATGTGTGTATTTCCTGCATATAGGTAAGTGCATCCATGACATGTAATGCCCTCGGAGGACAGAAGAGGCTGTCGGATCCCTTGGAACTGGAGTTACGGACAGTTGTTAGCTGCCATGTGGGTGCTGGGATTTGAACCCAGGTCTTCTGCAAGAACTCTCCAGCCCCTATACCATGTCTTAAAAATAAATGAAGGCACAGTGTTTTATTCCACTTGGAAGAATGGTATGAAATGCAGAAAAGGCATGGTAAATCTAAGAAGACCTCCTTACTTGAAAAAGGAGACAAAGAAAGGATAAATAAGCTCCCTGAGCACAGGGAACATTTGCCACATCTTGTAGGTGCTCAGTAAACATCTGCCTGAGGGGCTGAAGAGATGGCTCAGCAGTTAAGAGCACTGGCTGCTCTTGCAGAAGACCTGGGTTCAGTTCCCAGCACCCACATGGTGGCTAACCATCTATAACTCAAGTTCTAGGAGATCTGACGCCCTCTTCTGGCCTTTGTGGGCATTGCATGCACATGGTGCACTTGTATACACACAGGCAAAACTCAAGTAAATAATCCAAATTTTTTTTTAAAAAAGAAAGAATGTGTGTGTGTGTGTGTGTGTGTGTGTGTGTGTGTATGTGTATGCCTCTGTATGAATGATCCATCTCCCTTCTTCCCAGTGTTGGGAATGGAGCCCAGGACCTTTACATGCAAGGCAAGTGCTGTGTCACTGAGCTACACCTCTGGCCATATGAATGCTTTTGTTGATATGAGAACAACTCCCTGTCAGAAATAGGCAAGTACTTTGGGGTCTTTAAAAAAATGTCAGACATTCCTATTAAAGTACAGAGCAAAATATGGATACCCAGTATTTGTCTAGTTTTGAAAAAAATCTCAAGAAAAAAAAATCATCTCTCTAGCCCCAGGCACTAACTCTTAAATGGAGTCCAAATTCATGAGTGAATGGTAATGTTTTAAAGAAAAGATACATAGCACGAATTGTCACCCTCACATGGACCGTTCACACTATTATCTAGAAAGGGGAGAATTCGTCACTGGACAGGTTGTATTAGAAGACCAGGAGGCTCTTATTTTGGGAAAGGGTTAAGCCTATGCAGTATTTATATAAACCTTTTGTAAAGACACATATGAAGAAGTCTAATATGCTGTAATCTGATTACTCTAATAGATTTAGTTGGTGCAGTGGTTGGCCTACTATTAATTAACAAATAGCCTTTTTATTTTTAACTTGAACTTCAAGCTTTGCTAAAACAATATAATTAATGAGAACACTTGAGACTTAGCTAAAGTTGATGACTTGGGAGCTGCAAGATCTGTTACTTCCCTCTAATTATGTCTTTCCCAAGTGAAGGCTACACTTGGAGACTCATTAGTCGCCCCCTTCTGTCTTTATGGACATAAGTGCTGCCATGGTGTGACTGGTGGTCTCTGTTCAGATGCCTCTCCATGTGGGACCTGAATCTCTGTCTCTCTCCTTCCCATAAGCAGCCTCCCCTGCCCTCACCCCATCATCCATGCAACAAAGTCCTTTTCTTGTCTTACAAGGAAGCTTTGCCAATTTCATTTCACAAAACATGACTAACAAAAACAATTCTTTCTCTTCTAGGATTGTAGAGATCTATAGTAGAAGACTACAAGGTAAACTTTTCAACCATGATTCACAGAAAACATTTCTTTTTCTTACAAAGCTAGTATTTGTGTTCTATTTATAATAAATAGGATGTAGAAATCAAAACCTCCTGGGGCAGGGTATAAAAGGGAAAGTCTATGTTTTAAGCCTACAGGAGAAATCCCTGTAGTGTTCTCATACTCCTTCACATTATCAACATTTTCAAATCAGATTTTTTATGTTTAAGTGGGCTCATGTTTTATGATTGGCCTCACTTCCCCTCCTTTCTTTTTCATTTAACAAATCTTAAACATGTCCCCTCCTCCCGTAAGCATTTCATTCACTTTGTGGCTCTTTAGAATTCCATTGTGTACACTAATCCCTTAACCAGTCTCTGCTCTAGTAGATGGATGAGGATTTTGTCAGTCTTACAGTAGATGCATGCTTCAGTGAGCACTTTTTTATGTGTTCAAGGACAAACTGTTTTTGTCAGCATAAGAAACTGAATTACTTAGGTTAAATCATTGGTTTTCAACAATTAGCTGCTCTGTTAATCCTGTGGCTCGCTATTTACTAGTTCCACTCTACTTCTATGGGGATGCTTGTAGTCAGCATCTGTGCTCTTACTGCACACACAAGAGACAGTTGCCATTCTAGTCTCTTCCCTGGTGAGATGCTGGGGGCCAGGGAGTTCTTCAGCATCTATAGTGCTGATGAGGGAACTGACCGTGATCTTCCTCAAGACTCAGCAGACAAAGCGAACTGGAAAAAGCTGGTGTGTCTTGGCTGTTGAATCTCACAGAAGTCTGCTTTTTAGGATGGCAAATATTCTAGAGGCAAAAAAAGCTTCTAGCTGTTTGTATCTGACTTTTCAGCTGAGCTTTGTCACATCCACAGTTCAAGAGCGCCTCACCAAACAAATTGCAGTAGCTATCACAGAAGCCTTGCAGCCTGCTGGAGTTGGGGTAGTGATTGAAGCTACGTAAGTCCAAGCCTACCTTCGATGATGTCTTAGTAGCACAAACACCTACCGGGCATTTGGTGCTGCCCGGTTTTTCTAGGCCCAGGGAATGCAGCACAGTGGCTGCTGGCAGTTACCTGCTGAGGCCAGAAGCCTTTTCTCCCAGTCACTGTGGTGCTGACAGAGGGACCAGGGGATGGGAAGTTTTGTTGTTGTTGTTGTTTTTTCCTTTTGTGAGAATTGTGGAAGTGTTTGAGAGTCATATGCACCATGGTAGAGATGTGTCTAGTCTGTGGTATTTTTGTGTCTTGCTTTTTTCTTCAGCATTTTGTTAGTGCAAGCAGCTTTTCTAATATTTTGTCACACATTTGCAAAATAGAAAAACTAAGAATTGCTAAAAAGGGCAACCAAAGACAATTCTTTTTAAAAACAAGAACAAGTCTTTTTTATTTTTTAATTTAATTAATTGCTGACTGTGGTTTTAGTTAACACAAAATAGTAACTGCTTATGGCATGCCACATGATATTTTGATACATGTGAACACTGTGTAATGTTTAAATCAGGTTAAATGTACCTAACTCCTCAAACATCTTTCCTCAATAGTAAAAGCATTTAAACTCTTTTTTATCTACCTTTTGAAATAATGCAATACAGTGTTGTCATTTCTACCTACCCCACTCTACAAGAGCAGGCCCAGATTCTTCACTGTATTTAACTGTAACTTAGAGCCCATCGGTCAGCCTCTCTCCTCCTGTGTACTCTCCCAGCCTCTGGGAAGCATAGTCTACTCTCAGCATCCATGTGATCCACTCTTTTTTGTTTTTGTTTTTTTGAGACAAGATCTCACTATGTATCCCTGGCTGTAGACCAGGCTGGCTTCAAACTAACAGAAATTCACTTGCTTGCCCCCTGAGTGCTGGGATTAAAGGTGTATGCCACTATGCATGGTATGATACACTCTTGGATCCCAAATTCAATCCCACATCAGATGGGAACACGTATGCTGTCTTTCTGTACCTGACTTATTTCACTTCCTATAACATCTCCAGACATTAGAACTTCCTGCACAATGTGGCAGGCCCTGAATTTTGCACCATACATGCCCTCTGACTTTACCATGTTGTTTTGATTATTGTTACCTGGATTCTGCTGGCCAGCATTGTTGAGTATCTCTCTGGACACTCACACTTGTGTAGTGTCCTCATGGCCCTGACAGTGATTCAAGCAAAAATTCTGAATTTCTTTTGATCTAGAAGTCACGTGTCTCTGTAGATAATCCGATCTTATTTTCACCCAGGAAGAGAATTCCATTTTCCTTCTTGTTTCATGTATCAAGGACTCAACCACTGATCAGAATAAAAGCTGTATGATGTAAAAAATTTCAAGAAAAAGTTTAATATTTTTCTGAGAAGGGATATTTTGATACACTTGGTAAATGTGAACTGGGATTGGTCTGGGCCTGCTTTTTTAGCTAAGTAAAAACAAACCAGTATTGTCTACTCCTTTAAACAACCTCTGTTTTTCTTAATTTATAGACACATGTGTATGGTAATGCGAGGGGTGCAGAAAATGAACAGTAAAACTGTGACCAGCACCATGCTGGGGGTGTTCCGGGAAGACCCGAAGACTCGGGAGGAGTTCCTCACACTCATCAAGAGCTGAGCTTGGGCGTGCTCGGTGGCGTGCAGCTGCCACCACTGCTGGCATTGTCTTTCTTGGTCGTGCATTCCATTTTCAATTGGTATACATGTGAACTTCATTCCTCATCATGACTTGTATTTAAGAATTATTTATAGATAACTCAAATAAAAATAATTAACCAAGAGGTGAGCCCTCCACTTTCTTCTGGCCATTTTTTTAGTGGCTATGTTAAAGTGAACTGCCAACAGTGTAGGTTATATGCACCAACCACTGCCATCTGGATCACCTGAGGGTGCTGGCAAGGAGGAGACTCATGTATTTGGGTGAAATCGTAATCTGACTCATTAGCAGAGGGGCACTGGGCACTGAAGGAACTATGGCCACTACACTGTGTCTTCCTCCTCCTGTAGACATGGTATAATGCTGAAGAAAGTGCTAGAAACAGTCTACGTATAATGTACAGCTTTGGTCTGTGAATTCAAAGACCCACGGGCTCTACTCTGCCTTGACCATGTTTCTGAGAACAGCAGTGACATTTATTTTTGATATATTTATTAACGTTCCTGCTGTAACATTAGTCTCCAAGGGAAAATGGTGGAATATTTGTGTTTTTAATTTTGTGGCTGAGTTAAAAATGCACGTTTTTCAGCTTCTATTTTTTAAAATTTGAGTACAGGGAATTTATTCCTGGAGTTGTTTACGATTTTATTCTCATGTCAACATACAGGGATTTAGAAGTTTAACTCTCTGTGCCTTGAGAATATCACACCATTTAGAGTGTAGATACCTTTTCATTTTTTAAAGAAAGCCATTATTTTATAAGTTTCTAAGTGCCAACTCTGCACATAATGAGTTATCACTGGTTTCCCTTTAAAAGTTCCTTGGAAGTTTACTTTGTGTTTCCCAAACAGATGCCTCAAAGCAGTTTTTTAAAAATCTTATGAAATCTTTTTAAGTATTTCCAGGATCTTTTGAGAGTGCCCATCCCTATCAGGTCTGCAGACTCCCAGCTCTTCTGGACTGGAAGGAGCATAGAGTGAGCTGACGGAGGCCTGCATGGGGGCTGTGCCCACTGCTCTGGCCAAGCCTACTGTTGCTGTTGGTGTCCAAGAAGATGCACTGGGGACTCCTCTTTAGTTTCCTTTCTGGTCCATGTGGGTCTTGTCTTCAGTGTAAGTCTGTTCAGACGTGTAGGGATTTCGGTTTAAGAAGCTTGCCTTATTACTATTTATCTTAAAATTTCCTCACCTGGGGCAGTGTGGGCCAAGTTAAAGCACAGCACCCCAACTCCCCTGCAAAAACACAAACAGTTGTGCCATGAAGAAGCCTCTCATTTGGTTGACACAGAGCTCTTTGAATCGATCCTGTTCCTTAACTAGAATGAATCACTTTGCTTGCTTCCTCTGGCAGTCTTGTCTCTGCACTTAGACGCTCTTTAACTGATGATCAAGAATGATGACAGAGCTGCTTTTTTCATTTTTTACTTTATAATTAATTTTAAGTTCTACTTTTCCCTGGTACTTTCTGTATCTGGAGTTTCTAAAGTAGTTGTGGTTGATTTTGAGTTCCCCTTTAAATCTAACCTGGTAGGAACCATAGCCTAACTTGATAGACATTTCTAGGTAGAATGCTAAGCATTCAACTCATGTTTGGTATTTCACAGTAAAAAAAGCAACTGTGACTTAGAGGACCAAAGAAATTGTTAGCTCTACCTTTATCTTTTTGTGACTGCTTGCATTCCTTTCAAGTGACTCTCCATTGAGACATTCTGTGGAAGTGTTTTTAGAAATCTCTGTTGTCTCATCCCTACCTGTGAAGTAACAATTGTCTGTTTCACTCTGGTCTGTAGTGCTTCAAAATTACCTTTTCATATCCATGATGCTGAATTCATTTGGGGGATTTTTAAGAATTTGATGCACTTAAAAATACTGTTCAATTACACTGTTTGAATTTTCTGTATGTATATGTGTGTTCCTGAAGTTGGTTCTATTTAAATTATTAAAGTGTTATAATTTTGTTCTTGTGAAAGTTTTTTTTTCCGTCAGTATAAATATGACACATTAGTGGGATTATTTTGGTTCTATTTAGCAAAATAATCATCATAAGGGCTTCGTTCATCCAGTAAGCTCTTAGAATATACACCTCAATGAGAGGTTACCTTGACAGAAGGTAACTTAGGCACTGACAGTTTCTATGTGATGTATGATGGGAGTATTATTAACTGTAGCCTCTTTCTGGTAATGGGCAGGGGAGGTCTAGGGTGAGAGTCAGGAATCAAAGTACTTCCATATTCCTCTGTTATCCCAATTCTAAATTGGATAATGGCAGCCTTCTAAGGACCGGTACCTCTTCCTCCTAGGAAGCTGTTGAGGAAGGAAGGTAGGGAGAAGCAGAAAGTGGAAAGGGTTTCCTTTCCTATTTAAGGAAGGATTCTCTCTGGGCATTAAGGGAACAAAGGGTTACCTGGTTTCTCTGTACCTTGTGCCACTCACCTTATGCCCTCCTACTAACATGGCCTTCCCCATCCCTCTTCTCTAGACATGGTTCCCACCCTCCCTGGTTGTCCATGTATCCAGGTATTGGGCACTGGAGTAGTCCACTACTCCTTGCAGATGTAGCATATTGAATCTCACCATCCCAAGGAACACTAACTGGTAGAAAATCCCAAACCAAAGTCACAGGTGTCAAAACTGAACTGCTCGGCCCAGCCCAATCTGCTGCTTCTGAGTTTTTCCCAAATCCTTTGTCATCCCAAGTAGAAAGGGTTCCCATGGGCATGGAAGTGCATGCCTTTAATCCTAGCCCATGGAAGGTAGAGGCACGTGGATCTTGGTGAGTTCCAGGCCAGTCACGGGTACATAGTGAGACCCTGTCTCAAAACCAAAAAACAAAAGGCTTTCCATAGATATCATGATGAGCTTGGATCCCCCACAGACAGTGAGAATAGATAAATTCAAGGTGAAATGAGTCCCCAACTACACCAACTCCTCCAAAATCACTTGGTTCATTTTTATTGCCAAATAAATTAAATATTTTAGGGAAAAATAAAATGATGTACAGCAGCAGAGGGCCTGTATATGAACCTGTGTACCCATTCTGCAGTTGGACATCTCAACTCATGACTGTCTTGTTTACAACCCTACACCTCCCATTCCATTCAGTGCCCACTCAGGCATCGTTCTGCTCATAAATATTTCATAGTACCTAAATGAAGTAGAATTATGTAAAATAATTATGGCACCAAATACTACTTATCACACAAAAATTAGTCCTTTAATATCAGATGTCCAGTCAATATTCCATTTTCCCTTTTGTGCCTCATAATTTTTAATTTATTTGAAACATGGTACAAATGAGATTCATACATGGATTGATCTGTTTCTTAACTCTCTTAAAATCTGTAGATTGGCTTCATATTCCCTCCCTCCATCCTGTTCTTTATTGTTGAGTAGGTCCTTTGCTATTGGAGAAGCCTGTATTCACCCCAACCAATTCATGTCCACTGCTGGAATGCCTGGGGCTGAAGTGAGATTCCAGCTGTTGTGCCAGACCAGGTCCACTTTTAACTTGGACATAGCTCTGCTTTGCTTTGTATCTCAGATTCACACCCCTAACTAACCCCGCCCCCCGCTTCCCATGGGACAGAGTTCATTCCTTTTCTTCTGAGTCTGTCCTTTGAGGCAGGCCTACGTTTTAGAACATCTACCACATGGTTTCTTTGGCTTCAGCTTGGAGGATTGCTTAGTTACCAAGATTTGGTTATTATAGAATTGGAAGTGTTGGATCCAATCAGACTTTACATTCCTTCAAAGGCCTATCCCTGGGAATTCCAAGACTTAGTTTGGGTGGTAGGAATGCTTGGGTTTTCTCTAACTGCCTCTGTCACAATTCCAAGACCCACTGATCAAGAAAAATCAGGCTCTGGTTAGGGCAGGTAGGAGGGAAGTGCTTGAGCCTCTCCCCAGCCCCCTTTGCTCCCTACCCCACTCCTCCACCATGCTGAGGATTGAATTTGGGGCTTCATGCATGTGAAGCAAGCACTCTCCTACTGATCTACAGTCCCAGCTCTGTAAGCAGGCTTTTTAATTCTCTCTCACAGCGCAGCTGCAGTTTACTTGGAAGTCCTTGTAGGAAGACCCCTCCCAGAACATGCATCTCATAATCCTCACACTCTATCTGCTTTGGGCAATGTGTCCACAATTCTCATCTTTTGAGAAATCCTTTAGCTTCTGGAACTATGTTGCCTAGAGAAATGTGGTCTGATTGTTGGTGAGTGTTGAGCAAGGCTGTGCTGAGGGAATCCTGTGATGCAATACTTGGGTGTGTTGAAGACCCACCGGGTGGTTATTTTTTTTTTTCCCCTGATGTTAGGAACACTTGACGTGGTGTTTTTCCTCTCCCACCCTTTCCTGGTTCCTCACACTTGAAAATTGCTGACTAAGTAGATAAATGAGATTTTTTTTTTTCTGATTTGTCTTTTTTTTTTTTTTTTTTTTTTTTTGTGGGGTTTTCCATCAGATAGTCACGGTCTATCTTGTAAATTTCTTTATGGAGTTTTTTTTTTTTTTCTCTTGAAGGGCTATTTCTACAACCAAGGAATATGCTGAATAATGAAAAGAAAAGCTGGAGATGGAGTGATGGCTCAGTAGGTAAAGTGCTTGCTACACAAGCATGAGGACCTGAGTTTGGATCCCCAGCATCCATGTAATCCCATGTGCTGGGCGGTCATCCCTCTTAGAACTTGCTGCCCAGCCAGCGCAGCTGAAACAGCAGGCCCCAGTTTCAATGAGAGACCCCGTCTCAAAAAGGTGGAGCTGAGCATGGTGGCTCACACCTTCAATCTCAGCCCTCAAGAGGCAGAGGCAGGTAGATCTCTGTGAGATGGAGGCTAGCCTAGTCCACATAATGACTTCCAGACGGGCTGGGACTAGGAAGACTTTGTTGAAAAAAAAATCAAGGTGGACTGTGACTAAGGAAGATACCTGACACCAATCTCTGACCTCTGCAGCACACGTGCATGAAAACCTGAGTGTTCACATGTGTACACACACTCACAAAAGCTACTAAATAAAAATCGGCTTGCAACAATTCTGAGTAGCAGGGACTCCAGAATTATTTTACATCAGTCATTTGGAAAGTTCCTTTAACCAACCAAGGGCAACTGATCTCAGAGCAAATTTTCTCTCCAGAGTCTCATTTCTGGGTGTTTCTGAAAATTGATTTGCATGTAAGTGCTGAGTATGTGGACATCAGGTCCTTTTCCAAATCTTATCTGAACATCAGTTGATTCACAGCTGTCCACATCACTTCTTCCTTAGGGGGGAAATAGAGAGTGACTTCTATGTCAATGTTGAGTATCCTGACAGATTCTCCATATAAGTTTAATATTTAAAAATTATAGTCTGAGGGTAGTGGTACATGCATATATGATCCCAGACTTCAGCAGCAGGAAGATTATAAGTTCAGGGCCAGCCTAGGCTGCATAGTGACATACTCTATGTGAAAAAGTAAAAGAAAATGTGTGTGACCTTGTCTGGTCACTCTAAACTAAATGCTCAAATTGTTTTAAAATTGTTTTTAAATGGGTTGTTCTTGTACCTAGCATAAAGTTCATACAACATACAATGCCCTAATGGTAAAATGTGTGACCCTAAAATGGATAGTGGCTTCTATAAGTATCAGAATTTAAGACCCATTGTGATTATTTGTGGGGTTCTTTAAAAGTCATTAGATGCTTACTGTAAAAAATTTAAAGCAAAAATATCACCAAAACGTATCTACTTTGCAGAACTTTGACTACCCTGGCAAAAGAAAAGAGGATTCTGGTGAGCTGAGAGGCTAAGGCCTCTCTTTTAAAGTTTGGTATAGTCTTTCACTTTATCTGATATAATACACACTTGCCTGAAACTTTGAAGAACCAGAATGCTAGAGTGAAAACTTTTCTTTCCTGTCTTCCTGCCACGAATCCTCTTTCCCAAAGCTCCTATTTTCTTATGTATTCTTCCAAAAAACATTTCAAGGATACATATCCAAGCAGATTTACACACACACACACACACACACACACACACACACACACACATTTATTTGTATCAGGGATTCTTGGCCACATGTGCCCATCCAAATCACCTAGGAAACCTTTGTCAATGCATGTGCCTGCACCCTGTAGAGAACTATTCAGTATCTTGTAATTATGTTTTTTAAAAAGTCCTTGGTTATTCCAGCAAGCTCCTACATTTGAGAACTACTAATTAAAAATACAACTGTTTCTGGCTAGAGAGATGGCGCAGTGGTTAAGAACACTGAGTGCTCTTGCAGAAGACCCGGGTTCGATTCCCAGCACCCACATAGTGGTTAACAACCGTCTGTAACTCCAGTTCCAGGGGACTTCAATCCTTTCCTCTGACCTCCATGGGCATTGCACAACATGAGTGCACTTACACACATGCAGGCAATACACACACACACACACACACACACACACACACACACACACTAATACAACTGTTTCAACCAGTAGAATCAGCCCATCAAGAAGTCAATACCCTTCTTCTCAGACAATTTGGGCAGGAGAACAGTATGTGGATTATTGTGGGAGCAGTGGGCTCCAGTGTCCAGTTAAGGCAGTTAAGGACATCTGCAATCACTCAGTTGATAAGTCTAAAGGGAAATTGCCCCTTAAGAGACACTGTCTCCAGATTAATACAATCAGTGCCGCAATTACCTGCGCATGAGTAATTTATTTTTCTGGTCTGATTTTTCTAAACATTTCCTACTTCCACTCTCCTGATTCATCATAAAAAACTTAGAAAATAGAACAAAGTGAAAAGAAAAATGCTAGTTATCCAATTGCACAGCTCAGAAATAGCTACTGTTAATATTTCTTTTATAAATTGTGCAATAATATATAAAAAGTTATGGGGATTTAAAGCAAATTCACCCAGACATTTTTTCGTCTGTATTTACTTAAGCATGTATTACTGATAGATAAGGAATAAAGACTTAAGCAACACTTCA